CCCACGGGGAGCGTGTCGTTTACATGGGGGGGGGTCCAGGGTCCGGACCGCCCTTCTCGAGGCGCAGAAAAACGACATCTTGAGGGGTCGTAATTTCAAAAAAATTTCAGCAGACCCCCTTCGCCGTGCTCCTCTACACGCCTTGGTTTCGCCCCCCCGTAAACAAATACCCTGGCGCCGGCCCCTGTCACATGGATGGGTGGCAAGCGTCAACGAATATCATTCCACGCGTGCTTGAACCCGGATGTCCACCATGGGCCCATCAAAGCGACATGGTCATGAAACTGCCAACGCGGCGGCTGCACCACAATCGGTGCATGGCGCGCCACATAGAACTTACGCTACACCTTGGGACCCGCCGTGCACAGCACACCGACCCGCCGCGCGGGTCGAACCGACGCTGCCAGATTCCCGCGAGCATTTGCTTTGCCTTCACAACACACCTGGCGTGTTTCCGGTTGCGGCCCTCGACGAAACAGGCATTCGCTTGTTGAGGCTAGTCCGATGGCTCGTAGACGCAGGCGCGGGCCGCGACACCGGCGAATAGCGCAGGCCGCGCGCAGAGTCGCACCAGTTAACGCGCGTCGCAACAGCGCGCATGATGCAGTTGTTCTCCGATGGAAATCGCCGCCATCACGTGGCAAGCAGATAGGCGGCACCGTAGTAGAAAGCACGTGTTTTTGGAGTGGACCGTGAAACCGCACTGATGCTTCGCTAGATCCCTCCCAAGTAAGCACGTCACCGGGGGCAGACGCGGGTCGGAGACTTCTCCCGTTTTCTCGAATAAGGGAATCAGAGCAGTGCAGCGGCCAGGTCTCCCTATTTGGCTACACAACTCTGATTTTATTTATATTTCAACAATTATTAAACTAAGGGCTATAACAACGCAACACCAGTCCGCCAAGGAATCTGCCTATGGCGTTACAAGGGGATTCATTCAATCAGCCATGATACGACGCTTATCAGCATCACACAACACCACACACAAAATACTAACTATTAACAGTGGATGAAAGATTAATGTAAATATGAAATGTATGGATGTATAGATGAAAATACATAAATAAATCGACGACGCAACTGAGGACGTCCGGGCCAGCTCCCACCCTCACCCACACCACACGACACATATATAGTATATAATATGAGTATTAATATATATAATATTATGAGAGTATATTAAATAAATATTAATGTGAATATGACATGCCGCGTAGCTATGAGGTAAGTAACTCTGAATGGAATATACCTAAGGGCTTATTGTTATGTAATGTACATAGTTTGTATAGAAATACTAGTCACGCTACATCATGACTGATTCTCTTATCGACTGTCATTTTTATCAACAGCCCAACACCCATGGGGCGATTTGACCAGCCTTGTCATCCGCGCACCGACATGGAACGAAATTAAACTAGATATTCGACAGGGTGATTTTCACTTATCTTCTTTGTATAAGTCGCGAACATATTATTGAATGATGAAAATAAAATAAATTCGTCACCATGGACCCTGGCATGTAAATTATTCGAGGATGTGCATGATATCGGCCTATAGTGAGGTTCATGGTGGACCTCTATCACTGTAAAGGCAGATTCAACGAAAATAATTCATTTCGCTTTAAACTCTAATCCTCTGTCTGGTCTTGCCTTACAGAGTTAGAGTCGCAATGTTTTTGAATCCTTTATTGGGGAGCCGTAACTACTAACTTCCTTGGTACAACATGTAATATGAGTAGGCTGCATAGTTATAGATAGACGGATCAGGGAGTGCGCGTGTTGAGATCCTCCACCGGTCTATGGGCGACGATCGAACGCTTATATCTCTATTGGCTTAAGAATTATAAATTACGTTTTCATTATATTATTAAATTATTAGTAATATATAATTATTTATTTTATTAAGTATATATAAATGTATAATATATATTAAATATATATATATAATTTATTGGGAGATCTATTTAAACTTATAGTATCAATAGATATAGTTATAATATATAATATAAAGATATGATTTAAATGTTAATATTTAAATATAAGTCATTAGTCATTTAAAAGGGCAACACCTGAGGCGGATTTCTATGCTATGAAAACTGCGGCTAATATTTCCCGGACTGGGAACAAAAATGGATAACTGCTAATCGCGGTACTATATGGTTTATTATTTCTAATCTTTACAGGCACATGAGCATACTCGATAAACCACTCCCACTTGTAACGGTAACTAAAGGATCTTGTAAGTAATTTGAATGGTTTAATGAATATACTAAAGAAATTGATAACTGGATTATATATAACGGGATGCGTAGAATTAAGTCGATTTTCACAAATGGCTTCTATACGAAATTTTGTGTCGGCGGGTAGGTATTTCAGGATGAAGAACAAAGATTATGTCTGTGCCTACAAATTGAATGTGTAAATTGGAAGATTGACTCACTACCTACCTGGTCACGTCCTTCGGTCTATGCAGAAATCAGACAAGGGATCGAAACTCTACAGCGCTGCAGATAAAAATACCAGGGCGCTCTATAACTGGAGACACAACCCGGCGTCCTCCTGCTGCGACCCTATTACGAACACTAGCGAGCTCGCCATCGAAGGCCTAGACTATGTAAACTTAAGTCGATAATGCGTCCTAACTAAAGACTCCTGAGCTACAACGACCAGCCTTCTAACTTGGACTGGGCGCATGATAATCTACGCGTAACCTGACAAGGCGCTAGGCGACAGCACACTGCCGCCTCACATACTATAATGCGAGCGGTAACGCCCTCTTGAAAATCTACGACAGATATGCAGCTGCATGGCAGCTATGGATTGATCCGTGCAGAATGCACGGATGCATTAGGTCGGCGAGAGCAAACGAATCCATAGGCTGCCATAATAAGACGATAACCACATTCTGATTAATTTTTATTAGAACCTATCTGGGGATATACAATGGTGTTAAATATGAGGTACAGCTTGAGGAAGCTAGGAGTCATATGAGACCGTGGACATGTTCTATTGTCGATAGTTTCAAATTAGAAAATATCTATAAAAGTGTCAACACAATGAATGAAAAATTGATTTGGAAAATACCAACTATATTTCTACATTCTACATTCTGAGTGTTGTAAAAGTATTTTATTAATGAAGGTTATGTAATTTTTATTATGCCGTTCAGATAGGTCTATAATGTGATAGTTATGAGGGAAGGTTTGTTAATAGGAAAGGCGGAGCTGCAGCGGAATACATAAGTCTTTGGGTTTGTTATATATAATAATAAAGCGGATTAGAATAAATACTGCCATTCTATTCATGTAAATATAGAAATGTTGATCACTAGCTATATAACATAACAAATGACGAACGTAATAAGCAGTAGAATATAATTGAAAACAATTGATTAAAATAAAATGAATATAAATTATTGGTATAAATTATATTTATATTTAAAATATCATATGATTATAATAAATATATGGCCAACCCCACAACCTGGCGCCGTCGATACGCACACAATATTATTTGCCGATAAGGCACCGAGTAAATTGCTAATGGCCGTTCATAGCCTAGTGTGTTCAATACACGGTTAATTTTACCTAGGAAGTTACAATATGAAACATCTGAGCTGCATGAGATCTTGCTCTTTCTTTTGTGCACGAAGTTGAATGTAAAAATATCAATAAAAGTGATCAAAATGATATTGAATGTAAATGAATGATGGTTAATAAACGTCTACTTCTAGTTCTATTTGATTCTAAGCTGTGACGTACTAAGTTTTTATTATGAATATGAAGGTATTTTGATATTATGCGTCAACAGGCTTTTGTGCATAAAATGAGGAGCGGCAAGCTGACAGCGAAAGACCATAATGCTTTGGTTTTAATAAAAATATAATAAATACATTGCGCAATATCTATAGAAAATGGCCTCTCGGTTGAAGAGATGAAGAACATGGTCCCATAAATAGCCGAATGTCATTATACATCATATATAGAAATATATTAATAATCAATATTAAAATAGGTTATATAGGGTATTAGGAGTTAGGGTTATGGGTTTGTATTTTAGGAGTTATGGGGGTTTATTAGAGGGTGAGAATTAGGGTTAATGGAAAGGGTTAGGCAAAACATGTGTTTTAATTGGGAACAATGACATTGTTCTCTAATACCTTAGGGATTCTTGCCTGTGCAATTTCATTGTTAACATCGAAATGTTTCACGCTATATACAAACAATCGACGACAGTAATAAATCATCAATAATAAATTTCCACATATACCGAGGTACGTGCACTAGGTAATATAAGTGGTATTGATCCTATAGGTCTTGATGATGAGCCGTAATAAAGGAGATCTGTTGCATGCTATATCAGTTCGTATATATGACTTATATAGGGTATGGACGTACAAGGTAACTTCGAAGCTAGAGGCGAGTGTCATGAAGTTTTTGCTGAGGTGCGAAGATTTAATTTTGTGGCACAACGAGCAATCAGACCCCGCGTTCGCCGGCAGGGGTAGAAAAAGTTTTTGACTATAATTAAACAGCACGAATGGACGATGTAATATATTGCAAAAATTTCTGTAATAACGACGCTTTTGAGTAGTTTTCGGGCATAGACTGAAGGCACAGGCACTTGAAGATATTCAATAGAATAATAAATGCAAACTAAATACACTTCTCGTGTATATTCCATTAAGCGCTAAAAACTAGAAACTCATACAAAACAGTCCGTAAATCGGTATTTACTATAGTACTAATTGGATTACATTCTTAATGTTATCTTATATCTATTAATTAAATAGGCTAAGGCCTACTTCTGTTTCACCTACGGATTATTGAAAATAAGTTTGGTGCCGACAACGTAAATGGCAGAAGAGATTTTGCGAGCGGTTGATTCTGAAACATTACGTTAGACCCTTCAGATATTGGGAATTTTAATTGAACGTCCGTTGCACTGATTTCTGCTGTGGCAGGCACATACGGCTGCTGCTGACACTTTTGACATAGCACGGCAAGCGGTTTTTTTAGCCGTTAGAGAACATCTTAATAAAATTATGTAATATAAATATGTAAATGTATATAATAATATTTACACCGCCTGACCATAAATAATACAAGGACTGGATATATTGGATTATAATATATATAAATACACGAGAAGTCGTGAATTGATGGGACAATGCTGGAAGAGGGGTCGAGAAGGACTCTAGGCCATAGCCGATAGAGGCTGTTTAATAAAAATCATAATAATATAAATACATTGACTGTCGGGCTATACCCCGGGGGGAGAAATCCGAAATACCGGACCGTAGGGCGCCTGACCTCCACTCGATTGCCCTTCCGAGCCCCCCGACAGGCATTTGACGTCTTGAACATGACACGCGTGCATCTTGCCCCGTGATCTACCAGTCATCTCGCCTCTGTGATCGTACCGTCATCCTCGGCCTGGTGATCCTACCGGGTCGCCCCTTGTCCCGTGGGACCTACCCGTCGCGGCCCGTACCTGCCGGTCGCGGCTCTGTCCTTGCCCTACCGTCGCGGCCCCCCCCGTACGCGACCTGCCGGTCGCCGCCCTTCGGCCTCGCCGGGCACCTACCATCGCCTCGCCCGTAGATCTAAACCGCGCCCTCGCCCGTGACCTACCGGTCATCTCGCCAGTAACCTACCGGTCATCTCGCCCGTAACCTACCGGTCATCTCGGACCGGTGAACCTACCGGTCGCTAGGACCGCCGCGCCGTGGACCTTACCGGTCGGCACGGCGTCGGCCCGGTCCGTGACGCTAAACCGGTCGCCCGTGGAACCTATCAGGTCGTCTCGGCCCGTGACCTATCCGGTCGCTCGCCCGTCGCGCACCTACCGATTCGCCTCGCCCGTGCCCCGTACCGGTCGTCTCGCCCGTAACCTACCCGGTCAATAGCTCTCGCCCGGTAACCTACCGGTCATCTCGCCCGTGACCTATTGGTCATCTCGCCCGTGACCTACCAGTCATCTCGCCTGTGACGGGGTGCACATCGTAGAGTGAGGTCGCGATGCCGTAGCCGAACGTCGTCTTCTCCGCCCAGTTGCTGTGGATGCTCGCCAACCCGCTTCCTCGACGTCGGTGCGAGAACGGCACGTCCATCGTCTCGTCTGCAACGAGCAACGCCAGATGGCGCCACGTTAGCGACCGCGCGAGTTCGTAACGTGACTTCCGCCAATGACGTCAGTGCTGACAAAAGCGACAACAATGCTAGCAGCTGGCGTATATCTATCGACAAAAGCGACAACAATGCTAGCAGCTGGCGTATATCTTTCGACATTGAATGCCGCAAGACGGGAGTGCGCACATTCAGTGTTCACACATGTGACGTCACTTCCCTCAGCCAGCAGGGTCCGCGGATTTTCTGCAAAAACCAAGAGTTGCAGAAAAACCCATATTTTTAAAACGCGCACTCACCTGGGCTTGCATCTTTCTTTCCTAACACGGGGCAAGCAGCAATTGAAAGAAAAAATTACAATGCCTATAAATCAAACATTTAAAAAAACCAACAAGCTCCACTTAATCCCAATGGATTAATTGTACACCTAGAAGCAAAGAGAGCGCCGGTGACAGAGGGAGTTTTTCGGAAAACAGTTTAAATTGCAGATTAGTCAAAGCGTTTGTGCTTGCAGATCAATATAGTGATTCAGTCAATGCATGCAGCATCACGTTTCAGTTTGTGATACAGAATCATTTAACGAGCATTTGCATCACGCCAGAAACGAGCTTGCCTGCTATGCAACAACTATCAGAGACTGAGTCATCGTGTAACGAGACACTCAGGAAGGACATTACGTAACTTTTATTAATTGTTTCACAAATATTACGGTCTCTGATATCATCAACAAACATCTTAATGACGTAGACCGTAGTCTCGTAAATGATTCTTTTCTTGTGTAAATTTCTGTAGAAATAGTTCATAAGTATTAATTCATGAACCCCAGTATACCCAAATCTCCTATCGCCCCCAAAATGCCATAACGTTTACCAATTTCGGACTTGCCGAGCTTTAGGCTGGCCAGTCCGCCGTCCGGCCCGGAGTGTGCCGCCACCAACTGACTCGACAGTGACGCGATGTCATAGTTGGGAATGTCCATGCCCGTCTTTCCGCAGTGTATGTCCTCGCGTTTCTTGTACTTGAACTGCGGCCGGCCGGTCGTCGCCGTGGAGACCTTACTGGAAGAATAAGACAGCGACGTGAACTGTGAGTGTTCGGTGAGCCCCAGTGCAATCGCGCAGCCACACGAAGTGTGCGGAGGCTGCGTGCTAAACATCCCACGGGGTCAGCATCAGGACCCGCTGTGCTATGTGGGGTGATACTCCATTAGGAGTGTTCCCAACTTTAATGTCATTAATGGTCATAATAACATCAAGAGCGGATAATACCTCTCTTATTATCCGCTAAGAGGTATTATCCGCTCTTGATAACATATATATATATATATATATACATATACATATACATATATTAGTTTGTGGTTTAATGTCATTTAGGTTAGGGTTAGGGTTAGGATTATCAATCATTAAACATTAATCATTAATGAT